CCATAACTCACACCATACACAAAAACTAATTCAAAATGGCTCAAAGACCTAAATATAAAGCCAAAAACTATAAAGTTCATAGAAAAAATAGGATCAACGCTAGAGGCCCTAATGCACAGCATTAACAGGATACAAACCATAACCAACAACACACAAACCCCAGAAGATAAGCTAGATAACTGGGATTGTCTAAAAATCAAACACTTATGCTCTTCAAAAGACTTCACCAAAAGAGTAAATAGAAAACCTACAGAATGGGAAAAAATTTTGGACATTACAAGTCAGACAAAGGTCTAATCTCCATAATCTACAAGAAAATCCAACATCTCTACAACAAAAAGACAAATAATCCTATTAAAAAATGGGCGAAGGAAATGAACAGACACTTCACCAAAGAAGACATTCAAGTGGCCAACAGACATATGAGGAAATGCTCGCGATCACTAGCCATTAGAGAAATGCAAATTAAAACCACAATGAGATACCATCTCACCCCAGCATTACTGGCACGAATCAAGAACACTGGAAATAACAAATGTTGGAGAGGCTGCGGGGAGATCGAAACTCTTTTGTACTGCTGATGGGAATGCAAAATGATGCAACCATTTTAGAAAATGATATGGCGCTTCCGTAGAAAGCTAGAAATAGAAATACCATTTGATCCTGCAATCCCACCCCTAGGAATATATTCTAGAGAAATAAGAGCCGTCACACGAATAGATATATGCACACCCATATTCATTGCAGCACTATTAACAGTAGCAAAATGATGGAAACAACCTAGATGTCCACCAACTGATGAATGGATAAACAAACTATGGTACATACACACAACAGAGTACTATGCAACCATAAAGAACAATGATGAATCTGTGAAGCATCTCATAACATGGATCAAACTGGAAGACATTATGCTTAGTGAAATAAGTCAATCACAGAAGGACAAATATTGTATGAGACCTCTACTGTAAAAACTCATGTAAAAGTTTACACACAAAATGAAGCAATTTTTGTTAGGTATGAAGGATGTGAGGGGTGGAGGGGGGAAACTAAATAGACAATAAATAAGTGGTAAAGTTGGTGAAGGTTAAGACAGTACACAATATTGGGGAAGCCAGCACAACTTGTACAAGTAAAGGTCATGGAAGCTCCATAGACACATCCAAACTCCCTGAGGGACTGAATTGCTGGGCAGAGGGCTGTGGGGCCCATGATCTGGGGGAACATCTAGCTCAACTGGCATAATACAGTTTATAAAGACAATGTTCTACATTCTGCCTTGGTGAGTAGTACCTGGGGTCTTAAAAGCCTGTGAGCAGTCATCTAAAATTCTCCACTGGTCTCACTCCTTCGGGAATGAAGAGAACAGGATACAAGGAAAAGATTAGTCCAAAGGACTAACTGACCACAGCTACCACGGCCTCCACCAGACTGAGCTCAGTACAGCTAGGTGGTGCCTGGTCACCACCACTGACTGCTCTGACCGGGATCACAGCTGAGGGTCTTGTACAGAGCTGGAGAAGGACATAGAACAAAATTCTAACTCACACAAAAAAGACCAGATTTACTGGCCTGACAGAGACTGGATAAGCCCTTAGAGTATGGCCCCCGGATACCCTTTTAGCTCTGTGGTGAAGTCACACCCGAAGTTCACCGTTCAGCCAGGGATTGTACAGCCCCATAAAACAAAAACGGGACTAATGAGGCACAGCATTCCAGGAACAAGTTCTAGAAGGCAGGTAGGGACAAAAAAGTTGGTGATAGGGAACCCAAGGTTGAGAAGGGATAGTGTTGACATGTCATGGTGTTGTTAACCATTGTCATAGAGCAATATGTATACTAACTGTTTAATGAGAAACTATTTGTTCTGTAAATCTTCATTTAAGGTACAAAAAAAAGAATTATCAAAAGAAAAGTAGATGTTGCCTTCCAAAACAGAAGAGTTAATGTCACACGTATCATGATCTTTCAACCACTGACATAATTGAACAATCTGGTTTCATAATCTGAAAATAATATTGGATATTTAAAGTAAGAATTATCGTGAAAATTCTGGTTGTACTCATTACATTGCTACTAAAGGGCACTATCACTAGATCGAGTGAGTGGAAAAACAAGTAGTTCCATTTGTAACTGGGCAGATATATGCAGATCTTATATTTATCCTCTTAACTGAAAACAAACAAACAAAAAAGCAGTTGTTCTCGAGTTAATTCTGACTCACGGCAACCCCATGTATGGAGAGTAGACCTGCACTCCACAGGATTTCAAAGCTGTGGCCTTTCGGAAGTAGATCTCTGGCCTTTCTTTTGACACCTCTGAGTGTGTGTAAACCATCAGTCTTTCAATTAGTAGTCGAGTACTTAACCATTTGTTCTACCTAGGCATTCCTTATAGAGACACTTTGGTTTGTGACAAATGCTTCTGAAGTCTGGCTATACAACTCACTTATGATCGTAAGACTATGTCTCCATTCTTGATCTAGTGTTGTATTTTCCTCCCCCAGTACATTGGTCCATGACGTTACCTTTACCTAGGTTTCTCCAGACTAGTCCAGTTGCTCCAGTTAGATGACTTCTTAGTACCCTTTACTTATCCATCATAGCATTTCTCTTAGTTGTAATTTACGATTTATTTCTGTAATTCCTTGTTATGTTTTTCTTCATTACAATATGTGATCCTTGTGGACAGCTGCTGTATCTCCCATGCGTAACTTAGTGTGTGACCTAGAGTAGAAATACAGTGGGTATTTATTTAGTATATGGATTAATAGGCAATACCCACTTCTTTTCCTGATCCCACAAAATTTTTGTTATTTTTCTTATCATTAATCTGAGCTTAATGTATTATCTCTGTATTTGTAGTGGATTGACTTCTAATTTATTCCAAAGGCAATGAATTATAATCATTCTTCTGAAGTAGTTATGGACTTATGTACATATGCAGTTTACATGATCAGAAACTGTATTTTCCACACGGACAAAGAACTAATGGGTTTGTGCAATATATAGAGAAAAAAACTTCTGTGTGATTTAATTGATATGTATGTATTTTGTAGAAAAAATATTTACATGACTGTAAAATACACTGGCTCATGTTCAGGCAGTTGGAATGTATCATATATGCACATGCTGTGTAGCAAATGAACTGACCCCATCCACTGCAAGAAGCCTCATTTGTTCTACTTATATTACCCTGTATTAGACTTTTCTCAGTTTAGACTTGAGTGTTTCTTCCATCCAAAATGAAATAAAATACAATTCTATATCATCCTCTCACAAATATCTCACAAACATCCACCTACCTGGTGATGAGGTTCAGCAACAAGTGAAGCAAATAGGTGCTTGTAGGAGCTTGGATTCCATCATTCACACAACCCTGAGCAGTTTCATGCACCTAAATCCATAGTGAGGGATTGAATTTGCAAGGTGTTAAATTACAAATAACCTAACCAATGCTATA